CCTCCCTCCCTCCCCTCCCCCACCCCCCCCCCCCCCCCACCCCCCCCACTTCCTCCTCCTCCTCTACCTGTTCTTCAGGGTGTTCTGGAACTGGAAGATGTAGGTAGGGAGGTCGAACTGGTACATGTAGTTGAGGCTTTTGAGTGCCTGAATGAGGAAGAAGGTCCCTGACGCCGTCCTTGCGAAGGGCCTGTAGACCTCGCGCTCGTCGTCGAGCTTCAGCTGGAGTTCAGCTGAGTTCCTCAACGCATCCTTGATCTCAATGCTGGAGTTCTTGATGTCAGTGAGCTTCTGGATCAGCTCCTTGTTCTCCAGCACGTTGCCCTGCGACTCCGCCAGCTGCTGCAGGAGCTGCTTCTCGAGCTCGGAGAGAGACATCTTCAGCTCCTCCTCCTTCTGCAGCAGCTCGCTCTTCTCCACCTCGAGCTTCGGCTTCTCGTGCTGAATGGTGAGGGCCAGGAGCTGGCTTTCCAGCCCCGACTTGGTGATGCTGAAGTTGACGTCGGTGATAAGCGGCCTGCCGTCAGGAGGGACCTCGATGGAGGGGTTCCGGGTGATCATGAAGAACTTGAAGTTCTCGTTGAAGTCGATGAGCTTCTCTCCTATCTGGATCATCCAACGAGGGCCCTGCCGAACCAGGTCCTTCCTCAGCAGCGCGAACATGAAGGGCTCCAGCTTGTCAACCTGCGCAGCATCCCAGTGAGCCACCAGCAAAGAATGGAAAGAGAAGGGAGTGAGGAGGAGGAGGAGGAGGAGGAGGAGGAGGAGGAGGAGGAGGAGGAGGAGGAGGAGGAGGAGGAGGAGGAGGAGGAGGAGGAGGAGGAGGAGGAGGAGGAGGAGGAGGAGGATGTATGTGTAGGGGATGAAGGGGGAGGGGGGCCAGGTGAAGAGGGGAAGAAAGGGGAGTTCGAGGATCCAAGAACGCTCTCACCTCCTCCATCACAAAAACCCTCCCGAAGCGGACAGACAGCTCGAGCTTCTGCAGGAACTTTGGGTCCTGCTGGGTCGTGGTCTCCAGAGGAAGCCCGGAGGTCTCCAGCATCGTCCTCAGCCACTTTGCCGCCTGAGTGGAGGGGTCGACGATGAGGGGGTAGAGCTGACAGTTCTGGATGACGATGGCGTTCTCTGTCGACAGGTCGTCGCCCGGGAGGCCCTGGGACTTCCACTTGAGTCGCTCAGTCTCCGTGCTCATCTTGTCGATGAAGCGAAAGTCCCTCAGCTCCATCCTCTGGCACCACTCGAGCAAGTAGCGCGACCGCATGTCCTCCGGCATGCCCCCGAGGTAGGTGATGAAGGCGGAGGCTAGCAGCACGCTGAGCGGCAGCCGGCCCATCTGGTCGTTGAGGTCCTGCATCTGCAGCTTCCAACGGTCGTTCTCGTCCTTGAGCTTCCCCAGCAGGTTCTCAGCAGCGTCCAGCCTCTCCTTCACCTTCTTGTACTCAACGCTCAACTCCGCCGCCTCCTTCGTCAGCGTCTCGTACTCCGAGCTCAGCCTGCTCGCCGTCTCGTCGGCCTTTCTGATCTCCACGTCGCACTCGTTCTTCCTCTGCCTGGAGGACTCGAGCGACTTGTCCAGCTTCTGCAGCTGATCCTCTAGCGGCTTGACATGCTCTAGAGCAGCGGAGTACTGCACTTGCGCCTTCACCCAGGAGGCGAGGGGAGCCGCAGCCAAACTGACGCGCTGGATGTTCTCAGAGCGGAAGGAGGCAGCCTTCTGGTGGAGGAGCTCGAGGACTGACTCCCTCACGTCCCTGGTGATCTGCCGCGCGTCAAAGTTGAGGATCTCTTGGATGACTGACGGTTGAGAGATGAACCTCTTGATGCTAACCCACGACGTGTCCTGGTTGTTCATCAGCCTCAGCACGCCCTCCAGCACGTCTCTGATGGACTCGGGCGGGAGTTTGAAGGATCGGATCTCATTCAAGTTGTCTTTCTTGATGTTTCCCACTGCCAGCTTCGCTGCTTCCAGGACGGGCTGGCACTCGGCCAGTTCGGACTCGACCTTGGCTCTCTTCTCCTGCATCTCGGCCTCCGACACCTTGAGCTTCTGGCTCAGCTCCTCGGCCTCGCTCCGCTTCTGCGTCGCCTCCTGCATGTTGAGCTTGATCTCCGACATCTTCTGCTTCGCCTGCGCGTCCTTCTCCTTGATCTGCAGCTCCTGGTCCGACGCGTTCTTCGACAGCGTCTCTACAACATCCCACGTCTCCTCCAACCTGTTCAGCCCTCCCTTCAAGAACGAGGTCTGCCGCTCGAGCTCTCCTCGCTTCACCTCGTAGAGCTTCTTGATGGTGTGCAGCAGCGTCACGTAGTCCCTCGGGCACACCGGCAGGCTGGTCACGCTCCAGTGCAGGAACTGCATGTTGTCAATCATGGCATCCGCGCTGTCCATCTGCTCCAACGTATCCTGAAGGAAATGCTTAGGGACGCGGCTCATCCCGTGCTTGGACCAAGTCTCGAGCCACAGGATGGTGCAGCGGGTGTAGAGGGCAGGGTTGCTCTCGCAACGGAGGAGGAAGTCCGGGTGCAGAGGGTCGAGGCTAAGGAAAATGTGGAGGTTCTTCTGCACCCTGCTGACGAAGAAGGAGTAGAGGTTCCTGTACTTGTATCCCTGGCTGCGAAACTCCTCCTGCAGAGGCGCGGTCATGGCGTCGAGCTCCTGCGAGGTGAACATGCCCGGCACCTCCCCGGAGCTGAGGAGTCCGTTGATGACCTGAAGGAGCGAGCTGTCGACCAGCTGGTAGTCCTCGAGGAACAGCGCGTAGGGGGTCCCTTGCACCCCCGTGACCTGCACGCAGACCTTGAGGTCGTTGATAAACTGCTTCATGTCGTAGCCCCGTCCTATCTTGGGGATGAAGATCTCCATCTTGTGCAGGTAGCAGGCGATGCTGAGGCAAGTGCGTCGCCCCACCCCGGGCCTGCCGATGAGCAGGCCCGAGCCTCCAGGCTGGGACAGGATGCGGTCCAGCCGAGCGATGCGCTCCACGACCTCGGGGAAGAGGACGATGTCGAGCTCCTTGAATTCTCGCTCGTAGAGAGTGATACCCTGCTGGATCACTGCCTCCAGGTCCTCGCCACCGCTCCTTCCCAGCATTTGGAAGTTCTCGTTCTTCTCGCCTGCGTACAGCCAGGTGGTGAAGAACGTGTTCTTCAGGTCGACCTTGTGGTTCCACTCCGTCCTCAGGATGTCGCCCAGAACAGACGAGTCGAAGGATCTCATCGCATCCTCTCCTACCAGTCGGTCCCTGAAGATCCTCTGCGCCTCGTACGCAAGGACATCCAGCACCTCGTGCGTTGTGATCTCGTACCTCATCAGCCCGATGACGAGGGCAGTGACGTCACGAGGGGTGAAGAGATAGTGCCTGTGCTCGTCCACCACAAACGTGGTCTTGAGCCTCTCGTAGAACTGGATCAGGGTGCCGGCCAGCCTCTCCACACTCTTCTTGTCCGACCACGTGGGATGTTTGGGGATGTAAGAGGAGAAGATGGCTCTGAGGTAGGACGAGTAGACCAGCTGCAGCTGGTCGTTCTCCGGGTACGAGACGGCGGCGACACGCAGGATGGCGGTGAAGCGAGTGGTGAGGTTGTGCCGTCCGATGGTAGTTGAAGGGTTCATGGAGCAAACCAGCTGGACTCTTTCGATCCCCATCCACTCTAGCCCATCGTAGAACCCTTGGTAGAGAATGATCTGTTGGAGGAAGGAGATCAGCTGGATCGTGTCGTACTTGTCAGGCTTGGGGAGGTTGATATCCTTGAGGTAGAGGATCAGCCTCTCTGCCTTGGGGCGGTACACCCTTCCTGACTGCGAAGTGTTGACGGTGCAGGAGTGCTGCAGTTTCTGGATCACGTGGATCGCCGACGTCTGTGCATTGCAGTTGAGGACAGCAACTTCAACGTTGCGGAACTTCTGGAAGTGAGCCCGAAGCATGGTGCTCTTCCCGCAGCCCTCCGGCCCCACCAGCAGGAAAGGCTCGAAATTCTGCATCCACGGAGCAAAAACGTCGCTCGTCCTTAGAAGGTCCTTGGTGAGAACAACCGGCAGATCCCGTTCGGTCGGAGAGGACATGATCAGATCCTTGGCTGAGAGCTCTGAGTCCGTCCTCGCGGCATACTCCGCGTAGCTCTTCGCCTCCAGGTCGAAGTAAGTGTCCAGCGGTCTGTCCGTGCTGATCGGCCGCTCATTCAGACTCTCAAAGATCTCCTTGGCCAGGTTCTGCCGCGCGCTCGTCACCAAGATGCTTCCGAGCCCGCGAGACAGCGCGCAGGCGAACTGCTCTCGTAGCTCGACTCCTACCAAGGACGACAGAGCATTCAGCGCTATCCCCACCTTGGTTGTCTGCACAACAAACATGCTGGGCGGCTGCAGTAGGACCCAGTCAAGTCCCTTGTAGAAGGACTGATCGAGCCAGGCGGTCAAGTTGGGCCGCGAGGCCTCGGGCTGCCGGTCTACCCAGGCCTTGACAAGGCAGCTGATCTGCATGTCTTTCTCGGAGAGGAAAATCATCCCCATCCTGCTGACTGTGGCTGGGGAGGCGAAGCGGAGGTCGTTGGTCTCGAAAATGAAGTTGACGTTGGGCCCGAACCGGATCCTCTCCCCACTCGGCATCGTCAGCAGCCTGTTGTCGTCCAGCACTGAGTTGAGCGACTCCACCCACTCGGGGTCAATGTCGCCATCACAGATGATCCAGCTCCGGACCTCCGGCGGCTCCTTCACCACCTGCCTCGCGCTCGCCGTCAGGACTCCATCGAACCACTCGCGCGTGTCGAGGTCCATGTGCCCCAGCAGCTGCTGCCTCGGCATGGCCTTGGGGTTCATGGTGTGGATCACCACCTCCTGCTTCAACTTGGCCAGGGCCGAGCGGAGGATGCGGAGGAGGGTCGACTTTCCGCTCCCGCTGGGCCCGACGATGACGCATCCCATCCTCTGACTGAGGTTCTCGTTGAGCTGTTGGACAGAGTCAGAGGTGAGGGGAGAGCAAGTAAGACGATGGCGCTCACCTGAACGACCTTCTTCATCTGTGACGGCAGGAGGTCTAGTTTCATCTCCGCCAGACTTGCCTCGATCGCCTCCTCCAGGTCCTTGTAGACAGCGTCGGAGACGATGATGCCGGGGAAGATGTCAAGGATCAGGTCCTCAAACTTCTTGGTATCCTCGAAGGTCAACTTGGCGAGGGTGTTCAGCCTCACCGCCTTGATCAGCAGCTCCGTCTCTTCCTTCTGACTGATACTCTCCTTCGTCCTCCTCTCCAGCGCAAACAGCTTCCCGCTGATGAGGAGGATCGTCTTGAGAGCTCGCAGCCCCCAGTCGTAGTGCTGCTGGCGGCTGAGGAGCTGCCTGGAAAGGGTGAACAGTTCCACCACCTTCGCCCCGATGACGTTGGCGTGACGGTAGCCCTCAGCGTACAGGATGACCTCGGCGATGAGCGCGTTGTCGGGGGCCGACATGGCAACAGAGCGGAAGAGCTGCTTCAGGTTGTCGGGGAGCTCCGAGCGGCCTCCGTATCCCTTCCCAGCTGGGTTGAGGGTGACGAAGATGCCAGAGTCCGGGTTCACGTCGATCTCCGTGCCAAGCAGGTTGAGCTTCGGTCGCTTCTCCTTCAGCGCGCCCTGGATCGTCTGGATCTGCTGGGAGACAGCTGAAAGAACCTCGGGCTCGAGCCTGTTGAACTCATCGAAGCAGCCCCAGGCGCCGCACTTGACGAGCCCTGTGAAGATCCTGCCCATGGACTTGAAGTCTATCCCCTCGTCGCAGTTGAACACCAGCACCTGCCGCGCAAGCGCCTGCCCCAGCGCCTTCACGGACTCTGTCTTGCCTGTTCCTGCTGGCCCATAGGGGTTCCCGCCGTACCCGAGGTGGAGGGCCTGAGTGAGGGTGAGGAAGCACTTGTCGGTGAGGGGCGTGTGGACGAGCTTCGGGTCGTTGCCCTGGTACTCGTAGGTGTAGGAGTTCTGAGTGTCGCACATGCGCACCACACACTTGTTGTCCTCGAGATAGAAGCGAAGCTGCTTCTGCCAGTGCCAGGAGTCGGCAGATACCACTCCTTCCTTCTTCAGCTGGCTGAGGACGTCGAGGTCGTGGATCAGGTCGAGGATCGTCGACTTGAACTTCAGGGTGACCACAGGGTCAGAGGTCTGCGGCAACAAAGTCAGAGGGAACAAGTCAGACAACAAAGAGCAACTTCACCGCGGCAAAACCTGTGTACTGAGCTAACTTCTCCCTAAGCGCACTCTCTATTCCATGCAACCCGCCCTTGGAGAACGAAGCTTCCACGTCGGCACAGAAACAGATCTGCTCAACTGCGCAGAGGATCATGGAGGGGAAGACGCCGAAGTCGATCGTGGACATGCATTCGGAGAGCGAGGAGCTGAGGGTGAGGACCATGTCGGTCGACAAGTCAGACAGCCACTGTTCCACCACGTCGGTGATCTCGATCGGGTTCAGCAGAGCGACGGTCTCGCCCTCGAGGCTCCTGAAGGAGACGATGTGCTTCTGGTCCTCGGAGAAGTCCACGGCGAAGATCGCCTGGAAGAGTTTCTTGAGGTGGGCCTGGATGACCGTCGGGTTCTTGGACTGGCCGAGGATCTCGAGCAGGTCGTCGTCCCCGATGAAGTAGAAGCGAGGGAACTTGGAGCGTTTCTCCTCCAGGAAGTCACTCAGAGCCTTCTGGCATCGCTCCAGCTGGTTGATCATCCCCGGCAGCTTCTCCAGGATCCCTGAGATCTCGGCAAACGACACCACCCGCCGGTTGCTCACGATGTCCACCATGATGTCTCGGTAGTCCTCGTCCACCCTCTTGAACCTCTGCTGCTCATGAGGCAGCGCTCCTCGCCCAAAGATGGGCTCGAGGTACAGCCACTTCCTCTGTATGGTGTTGAGGTCGCTCAGGCCTATCCCCAACGTCGACAGCTTTCTGTCCCAGTCCTCAGCCTGGACGGCGAACTTGCCGAAGTAAGGGGAGTCTTTCATGGCCTGGAGGACAGACTGGTGATCTCCCACCTGTGTCTGTACCTCCTTCCATTCCTTGATCAGGTTGATCGTCCTCCCGCTGCAGTCCTTGTGCTCGATCAAAGTGAACTCCGTCTCCTCTCCCCACTTCAGCAGCTCGTCGAACGCCTCCTGTATGCTCAGCTCCGCCGTCGCCCGGGCCTGCAGGTCCTTGATCTCGTTCATCTTGCTCACCACAAGGTCGCTCGAGTCGAGGAAGTAGCGGAGCTTGAGGTTCGACCGGTCGACCCCCTTGGGGAACTCGAGGAGGCGGAACAGAGAGAACCAGTGCTCTTGAGTGAACGCGTCACCCTTGACGAACTTGAGGTAGGGGACGTTCTTCCTTAGCCTCTCGATCTCCGACAGCAGGTAACGAACCACCGGGTCGATGTCCTTGCCCTTGACCTTGTCAGCCCACTTGGCCAGGAAGTCGTCGAGCACGTAGAGACGATCTCTGATCTCCAGCCAGGCCTCATTCTCAATGTCTCCGATCTCCTTAGTGTACTCATCGTAGAGCCTCCATGAGGAGAGGGTCTGCTGGACGTCCTCCTGCAGCTCCTCCAGCTCGGGGAAGGAGGGCTCGGACATCTCGAACTGAGTGCAGTCCTGCTTGATCTTAACAGCAGTATCTGCCAGCAACGAGTACTCGGTGTCGAGGTCCTTCACTATCTCTATCGCCTTCTCTGCCGACTCTCGGTCCTTCAGTTCGTCCCCGTGCGGCTTCATCCCCCTCCACCTCCCGCTGAACTTGGTGATGGACTCGCGGAAGCTCTTGATCTGCTGCTCGATCAGCGACCGCAACTTCTCCTTCTGCTCCTCCACGTTCTTGGCGTGCGCACTGAGCCTGAGCTCAAGTTCGTCCCAGTCCCTATGAAGCTCAGAGAAGTCGATCGAGCTTCCTCCCTGCAGCTTGATCAACCTGCTCTTCTCCTCCATCTTCAGCTTCCTCTCAGAAAACCCACTGAAACCTTCGTTGACCGCCTTCCACTTCCCTGTGGCCTCTGCGATCTCGTCTACACTCTGAGGCATCGAGGCGAGCGCCTCTAGCGAGGTCCTGGTGTACTCATGCACCTGCTCCATGTCAGCCTCTGCCGACTTCTTCAAACTTCTGACGAGCGCGTCGTTGAAGTCCTTGAGCTGCTTCTCTATCGTTTGCTTGAGGGGGGTCGTGTCTACAGTGATGCAGTCTACCTTCACCGTTGCATCAAGCTTCTCCGCATCCCTCGTCCTCGTCTTGAGGACCCGGAAGTTGGAGTCCCAGTCTTCCACCTCCTTCACCTTCTCCTCGACCAGCTCGTCCAGATCCACCGTGCCAAGAGCCACCCAGTTGGAGTACTTGTCAACAGCGTCGAGCAGCTTCTTGAACAACTTCTCAGCTTGCTGGAAGACAACCTGAAGACCCTTGGGGTTGCACTCGGTGATATTCTTGAAGATGTCGGTCTCCCCGACCCCCTTGAACTTGAGGGGGATGTTGATGAACCGCATTAGGTCCTTGTAGTATCGTTGCCTGATGTCTTCGAACGGCGGGTCGAAGGTCAGCTTCTTGTCTTTGAAGTACAACGTCACTTCGATCTGCGGGAGAGTTTCATGGCAGCTCTCGAGCCCGACCTTGTACTGGAACTCCAGCGCCTTGTAGAGCTGGTAGTCCCAGTGGACGTACCATGCCTTGAGGTTGTCAAACCCCTCCTGTGCCACCTCCTGCACTATCTTCTTGATCTCTTGCAGCCCGTACTTCCACTTGTCCCGCTGCCTCACGAGGTCTGTCTCCATCAGCTTCACCACGATCTCAGCGATCTGCTCGTGAGCCTTCCGCAGCCTCCTGTTCTTGTTTGTGAACCGCCTCATGGCGGTCTGAAGCTCTTCGGTGTACTGCGCGAGCATGTTGGTGTCTCCCCATGTGATGGACCTTCCGTCGCCCTTAACCACTCTCTCAAAGTCGACTGCCTCGTTGATCAACATCGGCTTCTGGCTCTTGATGATGTGGCTCTCCAGAGTGTTGTAGAAGGCAGCAACCTGCTTGAGGATGGTTGCGTTGTTGTAGATTTTCTGTGCCTTCTCAACTTCCTCATCGATCTCCTTCGGTATCGGATGCCCGATGGCACACAGCTGCCTTGCCTCTCGGATGAGTTCGACAAGCTTCTCACTGTAATGGACCCTCAGCCTTCCATCTGCCTTGTCAAACGACATCAGCTTCCCCTTCATGTCGATCGCCACCTCTTGCTCAGAGTCTCTCAGGGCTGCCTTCATGTCGTCCCTCCATGTTGTGAACTCATTCATCTTCTTCTCCTCAAGCTCTCTGAAGATGTTATCACAGACAAAGTCCAGATGTTCCTCCCTCTCTGTCTCCTCCGAAATGTCGACAAAAATCGGGGTGGCCAGACCCTTGATCATCTGCACCTTGTGGATCAACTGCGAGTACAACACCACGTTGTTCACAGTTGTGCTGCAATTTTTGCTCTTTGTCAGCTCATACAACTTTGCATCAGAATCGTCTGTCTGTTGCATTGCGTACTCCCTGAGGTTCAACAAGTATTGTTTCACGTACTCGAACAGTCGTCTCCTCTCAGCCTTGGAACTCGCCAACAGCGCTGGCTTGCGTATCAGATCCTTGTACTTGTCGAATTCTTTGAGAACTTGGTAAGGTTTCGCAAGAGCGCTCGATGAGCTCGTCTTTTTCTTGCGAACGTCTTTCAGTTCCTCCACGGCTTCTTTCAAGTTCGGGATGATCTTAGAAGCTATCATGTCCCTTAGTTTCTCTGACACCTTCAAGCTTGCTGGCTCGATGATCGCAGAATACTCAGACACAGCAGCAGTCCAGGCTGCAGTCGAGTACGAGCTGACACTGAGGGGATGAACGTCAGCCAACTTCTTCAGAGAGTTGTCAAGTTTCAAGCCTCGCTGCTCGTCCTCACTCAAGAGGGTCCTGAGAGCCTCGTGTGAGGTGCGAAGCTCCAAGATCTTCTCCAGTCTCATGCTGATCGCCAAGAACCTCTCGTCAACGTAGGCCTTGTCTTGCCAGAGCGGCTGCTGCCCTTTCATGACCCACATCACCCCAGTCATCTCCTTGGTGACGGCCAGCCATCGCTTACAAGCGCTGTTCGCAGCATTCAAGTGTGATTCTGCTTGTTGGAATGGAATGTTCCAGATATCAGACGAGTCGACCTTCTTGCGTATCAGGTGCATGAGCTTGTCCCCCACCAAACCAAACAAGTGCCTCATCCTCCTCTCCGGAATCTTCTCTTTCCAGATGTTGTCGACAGCATCTTTTACATTCTCCATGATTTCGGATTCGATGGACTCGAAGGTTTCATCGTTCACATTCTCAAATATCGAGTTGAGATCTCTCATTTGCCCGTGTAAGTCACCATACGCAGAAGGGTCTCTCATGCTCTGTTCGTGCCAGAAGTTGACCTCATCCTCCAAAGAAAGGATCCCCACACAATCCTCCAGGTTGCTGCTAAATGCTCGATGGCCTTTCACCATGAACTCCAGAGCTGCTTCCAAGTTCTGCAGCAGGTCCATGGTCTTGTCGTCAAGCTTCTCTGTTTGTCGCAACATGAGCGGCTTGTAGATGTTGTGCAATGAATCGTAGAGGGAATGCAAGGGGGAGCGAGCGAAGGATGACATCGAAACGCTTGTCTGGAAGTTGTCCATGGTGATGGCAGAAGATCCAGTCTTGTGGAACAAGATGCTTCCTTCATCGGCTCTCTCTGTCACTGAGTTCGCCAACACGATCTCGTCGTTTCGTAGCGACGCCAGCAGTGCAGTCGTAGTCGGGTCATCAAGGAAGCTGTCCAAACAACGATCCGAGCAGAGATCAGCCTGCAGTCTGTCACGATCATCCAGAAGCTTTGATCTCAGCGATGCATCGCATGCAAAGTGGTCAAGAATGAGTTGCGCGACGTGATCCTTTCGCGGGTCGTCAGAGCTCACCATAACGCAAACCTTGAGGCTTCAGAGAGGAGGGAGTCAGGACAGGAGCAGCAGAAGGAGGAAGCTAGTTGTTAGAGGAGGAGGAGGAGGAGGAGGAGGAGGAGGGGAGGATCACAGAAACGGACGAGGATGATGAAGAGGAGCCAAAGTGCATCGCGACTTCAAACCGCTCTCATGCCCCTCAAAGTTGATCCCATGGTGAAACTTTTATCTTGAAAGTTGAAATTTCATAACAACATTTGACAGGTGGAAGTCCACAGGCCTGCCTCGCATAAATTTTTGAAAATTTGAAACTAAAATATTCATCTAAATTTGATATTATGAGATAGTAAATGAACTTTTCTCATAGATATAGATTCTCTGAGAAGGTGTGGTCAACAAGGTCACAAAGGGGGGTAGGGTGGGGGTTAAAACAACAACTTTTAGCAGGTCTACCATCATCTTGGTTCCATCCACGTTTAAGACTGAGCGATGGTGGTCGGGGCAGCCATGGCACGGATGCTCGTAGCTCGATGGCAGAAGGGAGTGATAGGAGTAGGAGGACGTTTGAGAGAATTGAGAGGAGGAGGAGCAGTAGTAGTAGTAGGAGGAGCAGCAGCAGGGTGTAGCGGCAGTAGAGCAGGAGTTGAAAGCACATTTAGATCCTTGCATTGGGTAGCTCGAGCAGCAACCCAAAGGTCTACTTTGATGGCGGAGGAGAGATCCAGCAGGGCGTCAGGTATGGCTGCGACACAATGCAGCAGACTCATAGATCCTACTGGCCGACTTGAGCTCCTCCTTCAGGGTTGGAGAGGACAGCACAGGCCCTTCACCACTCTCACTCGCCCATATCCGAGGCCCAACATCGGCGAGTGTCGTCCCTGCCTTGCGCGTCCTCCCGGCGGACCCCTCGTGCTGAGACGTTCTGCGAGCTCGTCCTCGAACAGCGCCACCGGCATCATCCGCTTCGTACCTGAAAGCATCCAGCCCTACTTTCTGCTGGCGAGGCTAGACAAGCCCATTGGGACTTGGCTGCTGCTGTGGCCGTGCTGCTGGAGCATCGCCATCTGTGCGCCTGCGGGGGCGCTGCCGGACGTCTGGATGCTGACCAAGTTCGCCATCGGGGCTGTGGTGATGCGAGGAGCTGGTTGTACCATCAACGACATGTGGGACAGGAACATCGACAAGCTGGTACGAGATCCCTGAGGGACCCTCCCCTTCCCCTAAAAGAGCCCAGCTCTCTGCCCAGCTGTTCATGGTCCGGCAGATCCTGACTTGAAGCAGGTGGAGAGGACAAAGATGAGGCCGCTGGCTGCTGGGCAGATCACTCAGCTGCAGGCCCTGACGTTCCTGGGTCTGCAGCTATCAGCAGGACTTTGTGTCCTCGTGTCGATGAACCTGTACAGGTGACGTTGGTGTCGGGCGTCGGGCGTGCCTGACTGTTACCAGCATCCTCCTCGGTGCCTCGTCCCTGGCCCTGGTCGTTGTATACCCGCTCATGAAGAGGATCACCTTCTTCCCTCAGGCTAGTCCTCTCCCCTCCCAAAGCTGAAGTTTCTCATGCTGAGAGACAGTTTGTGCTCGGGCTGGCCTTCAACTGGGGGGCGCTGCTGGGCTCTTCTGCTGTGCTGGGGTACTGCCCATGGAGCGTTTGTTTGCCGTAAGGAGATCGTCTCCTCCCTGAGCGAAATGACCGCGCATGGCAGGATGTACTGCGGGTCCGTCGCTTGGACATTGATGTACGATACCATCTACGCGCATCAGGCAAGATAGGAGGAGGAAGAGGAGGAGAAGGGGGTGGGGGGAAGGTTGCTGGTGATGGTGGTGATAGTATTGGTGGTTGGGGGATGACTAGTCTGCAGGACAAGAAAGACGACAAGCTTGTGGGCGTGAAGTCTACAGCCCTATACTTCGGCGAGCAGACGAAACCTGCGCTGGCAGCCTGGAGTTCTTTCTTCGTCGCCTCCCTACTCGTCTCTGGCAAGGTGCCAGCACGCGTTTGCCGGCGTCTCGCTCCTGAAGCCTCTTGCAGTTTGCGGGGATGGGGATCCCCTACGCGGTAGGGGTTGCGGGGGCAGCCGTGCACATGGCGTGGCAGGTTTGCGGGCAGAGGCCTCGTTGACCCTGCTGGTGACTTGCTGGCAGATCAGGACGGTCGACCTGGACAACACCATGGACTGCATGCAGAAGTTTGTGTCGAACAAGTCAGTTTTTGCCCTCTTCTGCTCCTTCTGCTCTCCTCACAAGACTCGTCCTCCTCCCCCATCCCCCCTGCCTCCCTTGCGCTTCCTCACTTCGACCTTGCAGATGGGTTGGCGCCATCATCTTCTCGGGTATCGTAATCGACAAGCTGCTGGCCTAGCAGTGTCAAGAACTAACACAGAAACTAACATCAAGAGATGTAGTCTGAGTTAACAACAATCCATAGTTTACAATGTCTTACAATCCTGCCTTGACTACTCACTCCTTCCTTCCTCCTCCTCCCACGGCTCCTCCTCCAGCTCCTCCCCCATGAGCCACCTTGTTCGCATGTCCCGGGAGGGTGTTGTATCCAGAGCCGCTCCCTGCATGAAGTAAGCAAGGACAGGCTAAGGCAAGAGCTGGTACCTGGTTCGTGATTCCATCGGAAAGGTGTGATCACCTAACAGGGAAAGTCAAACTCTTTGCTCCTCTACCTCCCTTCCTCCCCCCCCTCTTCTTCCTCCTCCTTTCTCCCAGTCCTCCTCGTCCTCCTCGTCCTCGTCCTCGTCCTCCTCCTATTCCTCGTCCTCACACTGACCCGGCAGGACCCCACAATCTTCTGGTGCGTAGCTTCACTCCGCTCAACCTCTTGGACCTTCGCGCCTGTCAGTCTCTCCCTCCCTCCC